AGGCCTTTGTCAGGCTGTGTGACTCTGGGCTCATCTACCGCTCTGAAGGTCTGGTCAACTGGAGCTGTGCGTTAGAGTCGGCCATCTCAGACATAGAGGTACATCACTGAGCCGCTCCATGTCTAACAACCTGGCCACAGGCTAACTCATGATTTGACGTGTTCAGGTGGACTCAGAGGAGCTGTCTGGCAGGTCTCTTCTGTCTGTTCCCGGTTATCAGCACAAAGTGGAGTTCGGGATCATGCTTACATTTGCTTATCCACTGGAGGGACAGGGTGAGGGGACTTTTCAGTTTGCTCTGTCTCTCGAGATGTTATTTTACCCGTTTTGTAATAAGGTGTGATTTGTTTTTTAGAAGGAGAGGTTGCAGTTTCAACCACGCGTCCAGAGACGATGCTGGGATACGTGGCCATTGCTGTTCATCCTGATGACCCTCGATATAAAGTAACGCTACATGGATTGCTTGTAGTCTGCTCTGTGCTTACGATATGACTTGACATGACTGTACTTGTGTTCGAATGGGATATTACTGTACTACTCATCTTCATTTGATAAATCTAGTATGCAGTAGGCAGTATGTCTACTATGCTAAAGTTACAACCAGAGCTGTAGTTCTAGCACTTTTCTCCACCATGTTCATCTCAGGATCTTCACGGCAAACACTGCAGACATCCATTCACTGAGCGCTTATTACCCATCGTCACTGACTCTATGGTGGATGTGACATTTGGCACAGGTATGTCATTTATTTGTGCATGATGAATTTTATCTGTTGGAAATAACTATCTTTTATTGCAAAAATGTTAAATTACAATTAGTGTACTTTTACACTGCAAGCCAGTGTTCCATTATTTTTCTTTTTGTGAGGCTGTTCATATGAACCTGTGACACTGGTCTAAATTTGTGATCCTATATTTGTATTTTATTAATAAATAAATGTATAAGTAAATGTATTATGTATATTAAATATATATTTTATATAAGTTTAATGAACACTGAGTTAATATATTATTGATGTACAAATTGGACAAAGTTTGACCTGACTGGTCAAAAATCAGTTAAGAATGCAGCACATTTCACATTTATTAATGTTCAGCGGCGAAATCCAGTCATTGCAATTGGAATTCATGATCAGGAATTTTGTGTGAGGACAAAATAGGTTTCAGGAGATTTGGCACTGATTTAAAGTTGGTCATGCAAATTTGCAAGTTT